TATAAACAGAGAAGTGATCTCATGCCCATTGACAGCCCGGCTAACAATCACTTGACAGATAGTTAACTATAGAAAGGTCAAAAGTCAGGGCTTTTAATCTATAGGTTGATGATCCCTTGGGGACTGTGTGGTGTGAAAAAGAATTTGGTATGTTTGATGCTATTATAGGCATGATCAGCTTGTCAAAATCCATTAGCACTCCATTGTGCTTCAAATAAGCATTAAGCTAGCTTTTGGTATGATTTTTTGAAGCAGATTTCTTATCATTCTTGGTAATACTTTATAAGCATGACACATTCCATTACTTATAGGATAAAAAGTGATTTTTCAGCAACTGGTAAAATGCATAATATATTCTTCATTTAGGTCTGTTTAGTACACTGAATATTTTTCTGAAAGACTTCAAGTTGAGTTGAAGACTTCACAGAGAACAAATAGAACAAACTGAAAGTGCATCTTAACTTACGGGGCACAGTGTTATCTTTTACATGATTATAGCATGACAAAGAACAAAACAAGCCTGCATTATCTTTTAAAAGAAAATCAGAAATATATTTAGTCCTATTTTATTGCTTTTAGACCCAAAGTGTTTATAACTGACATTTTCTTTGAATATTTTGCAAGATATTATTTGACTATTTAGATAGCTCTAAGGAAGAGAAACTTCGCTTGTTTTTAACATTTGTTCATTATAATTTCAAAAAACACTTCTTATAATGACCTTGAAAGTAAAGAAAGTTTTTTTGGGTATACAACATTCATTAGTAAGTAGTGCATGAAGAATGTTAATGCTGTGAAGATAAAATATTTGAAAAACTGTATTTTTTCAATAAATAAAAAAACAAGATGTGGAACCTAAATTACAAGAAGGTGTAGTAATATGTACCTACAACATTATGAAAGCTTATTAAGTTCACTTAGGAGAATGCAATAAAAGTGAAATGAAAACAAATTTCTCAGCAGATAATAACATTTATGGTAGTTACATAATACTGACTGTAAGTATGACTTAAATCTACTAAGTAAAAACTATTCCATGCAGCTTTGAATTTGATTGCTGTCAGCTTCAGAACATGCATCCTACCATACAATTCTATCCCGTATGTCAACCTTTAAAAATAGGTTTGGAGAACAAAATGAAATCTTTTGATGTTACACTATGATAGCTTTGGCCAATTAAATACATAAATAAATAAATAAGCATTGAGAAAAAACAAACAAAACAAAAAAAAAATCAATGCCTCCCAATATGTAATAAATCTTGACTTTACCTCCCCATAGATTACATCTGTGTCTTCAGAAAGGCTCAGTCAGTCTGGTTCATCTGATGGGCAGATGCATGTCATGCAGTACTTGACGAGAAACTTGTGAGCATACTTTGGCCACGTCTACTTTGAACTGTCAGATGGATTTCTCTTGGGTATCTTTCCTTTTGCTGTGCATCGGAGCAAAATAATATTTTATTGTTGGTCATAATTAATAATTCATTGAAATGTACCAAATGATCATACACAAAAAAAAATAATATGTGGATATAAATCTTATTAGGTCCCTGGATAAAGTCACACTATGTTTTTACATTTTGAATTTCCAGGCATATATTATATTGTCCAATATTGAAACAAGCTGAGAAATATAATATAAAAATTTGATAAATTGCTTTCTGTCTGTAAATGAGAAAACAGACTTGTAAAATGTGAAATGAACCATTCTGGCAAAGTAGAATTTGAGCTTAGACTGTAAACACTTGAGTTAATGGCTAGGGTATCTCTGAGTCTCAGAAGCTGTGGTACAGAGGGAGGGTGAAAGTGAGGTTATGGAAGCTCTTCAATATTTTACTTTGAACATCCTTACAGTCTTTAATTAGACAGATTACCTGTTCTGCATGGTGCGGTGTGCTGAACAATTTTAAACTGGCTTGTCCTCAAGGCAAATGGAAGGCAAAGTCAAAAAGAATTACACTCTACACAAATAACAATGAATGTTCTATTAACAAGTGTGGTAAAATATGAAACCTTCCCAGCCCATACACTATTTAATTTTTAACTTTACCATGTACAAAAGCACTTGTTAAATATTTACTGACCATTTGAATTTATGTACCTAACCTGTCCACCTCTTCAATGCCTCAGTCTGTGTGAAACCATGACATTTAATGTTGTAATTATGTGAAATTTTCTGATTTATGTTGCTTCATGTCTAAGAAAATGTGACAATGTAATGGAAACCTTTTTGACAGAAAAAATAATAAATGCTTTCTTTATTTCAGTTCCACTGAAGAGACATTTTTTTATCTTTATTTTTTTAAATCTCAGTTCATATCTATACCTATAGTAGAAAGCATAGAGGAACAAGGATGTTTACTAATGATTCCTGGATGCAAGCATTTACTTGCTGTATATATGCTAAATTCCCGAATCTATTTAATCGGTTTATTCAGCCAGCCACCTATGGGGAAGGTCACCATGTCAAACAATCCTGAATGGTATTTTGTGTGAATTGGGAACAGAACTTTTTAAAGGCCAGAGGTTTAGGAACATAAACCAGATGTTCTCATTTGAAATAGGCTACTTATTAAAAAAGGTCAAACACTTAGATCTTTTTTAAATCTTACTGTCAGACATACTCCATAGAACTAAGATTTTACTGTTCTGAGTGGTATGAATTTCACTGATTCCTTAGATGAAATATACCTTCTGATCTTTGCCATAAATGTATTGTTTCCCTTTTTATATTCTACTGTTGAATCAAAGAAATTTACTAATTTAATCAGATGAATATTTTTCACAATACTGATTTTTAAAATTACTTTTTAAGTTTTTACTTTTATCATTCAGAATTACTCTAAGTAATTAATTCATATATTTCTTCTGATATATTTTCCAGACAATAATTTGCACAGCATAAATCTAGATCACAATGTGGTTAGTGTGAAGACGTATGTGGTTCGATTTTGTTCTGTTTAGTTTTGTTTTGTTTTCTGCAGATAAACACATCTAAAAATTGGTCTCTTGTCCATAGAAGTTAAATGAAATGTCATTTAATAATTAATATAATTTAATTCAATTGTTCAGCTTGCTAAACTATTTTACCAAACTGTCTGTGTTGACTGGTAGGATCTTATTTACTAGAATGATCACATTTGTGAATAGGAATTTTTAAGACTTTCAGAGAAGAAAAATAGCAAAACGCAAATCAGCTAACCTGCAAAACTGCCATGGGGGAAGGTCCAGCCTCTTTCCAACTTCCACACAGAACAATGAATATTAAACTGAGCTCTATCCATTCTCCTTGGACAACTGGATGTTCAGAAATAGCTCCAATCAGAAGTGGCTGGAGCAGTCCTTCTCCCCACAGCTCTAGTGCTACCCTTCTTCCCCCAGCCCCAGTGCTACCCTTCTTGCCAGAGACAAAGAAAAAAAATAGATACTTGATATAGCAATCAAAAGTTACAACAGAACAGAGAAAATGAAACACCTGCCTTTGATAGCATACAGCAAAGCATGTATAAGTGATTGATTGCCACTAAATGTCTGTAGATCTGCTTTCACTGGTATGGATTATGGCCAATTTTCTCGTTTCAGCCACTTCATGTCCTTGAAGGTGGTAGGAGCCCTGGAGCTATAAGGAATGAAAAGCAAATCCACTGGCTGGAGATGGAGTATTTTGTTCTGCTTGGCCTACACTACTCTACACACACACACACACACACACACACATACACACACACACACAAAAAAAAAAAAAAAAAAAAAAAAAAAACAAACAGACAAACAAAACCATAACTGAGAACATTTTGCTTATGTTATATTCAGCTGGTTAGCCTGTTGTGCATGTGAATGACATTTGCAAAATGTTCTTTATTCATAGTGAACTCCAGATGAATTTCCATTTCTAGGTCAGAAACATTATTCAATGTACATCTCCATTTTAAAAATATTTGAATGAGATACTGGGCTATTTAAATTTACAGAGAAGAAAACTCTAAATATTAGTATATTTTTACTGCAAAATATAATCATCTATATATTTGTGTCCAAAAATCACTGTAATTTCATATAACAGAATCATTGAATCATTAACGTTGGAAAAGACCTCTAAGATCATGTGGTCCAATCATCCACCTACCACCAATACCTCCCACTAAACCATGTCCCTAAGCACCGCGTCCAACTTTTCCTTAAATATCCCCAGGGATGGTGACTCTACCACCTCCATGGGCAACCTGTTCCAGTGCCTAACTACTCTTCCTGAGAAGAAATGTCTCCCATTTTCCAGCCTAAACATCCCCTGGTGCAACTTGAGGCCTCTAGTCCTATCACTGTTTATCTGCAAGAAGGGGCCAACACCCAGCTTCCCACAACTTCATTTCAGATAGTTGTAGAGAGCAATTATGAGCCTTCTGTTCTCCAGACTAAACAACCACAGTTGTCTCAGCCACTCCTTATAGAACTTGTGTTCCAGGCCCTTCACCAGTTTTGTAGCCTTTCTCTGGACAAGCTCCAAGGCCTCAATGTCCTTCTTGTAGTGAGGGGCCCAAAATTTAAAATGGTATTGGCGGTGTAGCCTCAGCAGAGCATACTACAGGGGGATGATCACTTCCCTGGTCCTGCTAGCTACACTGTGTCTGATTCAAGACAGGATGCTGTTGGCCGTCTCAACCACTGGGCACTCTGCTTTCCAGCTGTGCTATCAGATTCAAAAAAAAAAAAAAAGTGTTTTTTCTTGTTTGTTTTTATGTTTTTTAAGTTTGTTAAGTGTTAAGTTTGTTATGTGTTTTAATTTTTTTAAGTTTGTTTTTAATTTTTTTCTTTCAGATATAAGTTCTGACCAGAAAATACTTAGCATAAGCTGTTTTCTAGCTTTTCTTAGTCTTTCCTATATTGCCAGTATTAGTCCTGATATATCTTATTTCACAAACTGAAGGTTGTCTTCTAGGTCATCCAGAAGAAGACAAACTTCAGCAAATTTATTTACTGATTTTGTACTTTGATTGAGATTTGGTAGAGCAAAAGTCCAAAATATTTGAGTAAAAATGAAAATTCTACCAGTATCAATGTATTTTATAGATACATAATATATCAAAATCTGTGTTGGAACTACAGAGAGCAAAGCATTTTCTATTCACAATGAAATCTTCACTTCAGTATTTTCCTACAGTTCACAAGCAGATACTACACTTCAGTTTTATTTGAAATGAAAATTTCAACTTCAATTCAAATAGCAGTATGAAAACTCATCATGGTATATGAGACTGTGTAGATGATTATTTTTAATGGAAGTAATGAGAAAATATAAATAAATATGTTAAAATATGAATCTTCAGTTTATTAGTCAGTCGTTATTTGCTTTTTTTTGTTTTTCAGAAGCCTATTTGGAGTCTCATTAATGAGAAAAAAATGTTGACTATTGGTCTGTATAAAGGAGGCTCTAGAATGAAACTTCAAAAAAACATTTGAATATCTCTGTTATATGGATTGTCAAGGACAACTCTGAATGCTCACAGTAGTTCAGTGGTGAACCGTGACAAAATCATGTGAAAATTCCCAAGGGAAAATATAAAATTAAGTGAAGAAAAATGAAATATTAGAGCGTATGTCAGAAGAAAAGCTAGATCCAGCAGACTCATCTCAGTTGGACTCACACTTACTGTTGTTTTTGTTCATGTACCATCAACTCATATTCCCTAACCTTCTTTGGTATTACTTCTGAATCTGTGTTTCCTTTGTTTGTAGTCTGTGGGCTGCTACAGTCTTTGAACACATTATGTGTATAAACTGTTGTTGTTGTTGTTTAAAAAAAAAAAAAAAAAAGACAACAATTTCAATCATTTTTCAATCAAATTTTCTGTAACTGCGCTCTTCATTTTGTTAATCATCTTGATATAAGCTTTTTTTAATTTAATCATGATAAGGATTTGTGAGTCAATAGAGCATTTCTGTCCAGTACTTTATTGTATAAGCTACTGTGCACATGGGAAAAAGTTGTGCCTTTACCCAAAATAATGCCATGATTTTCCTTTTTCTCTGAGAAAATATTTTAGACTCTTATCTGCCACCTGTGTAGTTTAATGCTGCATCCCCATCAAGGCAAAGTGTGTGCTGTACATGTATAGCACAAAAGTGGGAAATCAAACTCTTTCAGATTACTGTAGTATATATAAAAATTGTGCTTTTACAAAAATCATATTTCTGGTTGTTAATTTACATGACTGTTTTCATGACCTTTTCAGATGTATGAGAGATGTTTAATATTATGTTATTTCTAAAGTTATTACAAGCCATATAATCTGCTCAACTCCATGGGTTTTGTTTTTAACTAAATTATTCAATCAATTTATATATCTTGAGAATATTACTAATATTACATTCCAAAAGCTGTCAAATATGAAGGTTATCAACTCCTAAGGCAGAGAACATCTTTTGCTTTGAGTGTAGTTACAAACAAACCAGTACCAGAAAGAGTCTACAAAAAATATGTACAAAATTGAAACTACCATCAAAGAAAGGAAACTCTCACTCCTGTTTCCCAAAAGAGTACTGATGAAAATAATATTTTTGTTTAAGTACTGTTTAATACAACTATTAAACACATTGCTGTTCTACATTTCCTTCTAGTAGTTAAAATTATTCTCTCCCTTTGTCAATTTACAAAATACATCATCCTTGAGGTGTCTTTTGGAGAGTTTTCTACTCCAATATATATTTATATAGATAAATAATTAATGGTATAATAAAGTAAGCCTAGATTTGACTATGTGTCCACTGAAAGTGTAAGGAAGAAAATTAACAGGAGCTTGTTTCACTTTAATAACATAATGGAAGCCAGTTGTTTTGTTGTTGTTGTTGTTGTTTTTGTTTGTTTGTTTGTTTGTTTTTATATAAATGTAATATTTAAAATGTATTTTCTTTTTTATTTATTTTCTATTAAATTGAGATTAGTTACTTTAATCACCATCTGAAAAATACCAAAAACTGGAAAAGAAACTCCATGAAAATGTACTTTGTGCACTAATAAACTGTGTTCAAACTGAGGTTTTGTAAACTGTGAATTACTGGCCTGGATTAACCTCATCAGTAACCATTACAGTCTTTTATTTAGCAGTGATTTAGTCTTTACTAATTTCTGCTGAATGGAGCTTAGACAGTTCATAACCTGAGACATAACAAGGGAAAAACTTGCAAAGAAAATCCCAACAAACATCAGAGACTCTTAGAATTAGGATATAATTAAAGAGGGAAATAAACTGCGGCAGATTGTTGTTTTCCTCTTTTGGATTGGTTTGTTTTTTCTTTCCAGCAAGGTACTCCTTTGTAGCCCTGCTGTTACCAAGGTCCTCACTTACCTCTTTGCTCTGGAGAATTACAACCCTTCAAACACCGTCTATATCTTTAAGGTGAGAAAAAAAATCCATTATATTTAGGATTTTAATATTTAATTCTGCATACCACGGTCCAGAATATGTTGGTTCTTCTACTGGCTTCATAATAACATTACACATAGAGTTAAACATTTTACTGCACAGAGGCTTCCTGTGACAAAAAAGTGGGAAACCCTGCTTGAGAACTGTTGCTAGCATTCGTATCAATACAATGTTTTGTAATTAAGTTCATAGCAGTCCTTAATCTTTTGTGCCTTATATTCCTTGCTGATATCTAATGTGCTTAATTTTGTTTAAATACTTGCTGCAGAAAAAATATAGCAGGTATATTTGTCGTGCTGTTTAGAACATCTAGCATGTCTTGACAATTGCAATTACAATGCTGTTAAATATATCTAACATGCCCTGACACTCCATCTAGAAGAATGAACATGACAGTGAAGACTGTTTTCCAAAAACATTTATGTTCCTGCAGTACGCATATGAAAAATAATTCAGCAATTCAATTCATTTTCGAAATCAAACTTCAAAGTGTTTTAGGAATGTTTACCACAGAAATCAAGCATGTATTTAACAGAATAGAGATGCATCTAGAATTTGCTGAACATTTCTTCTCTTACAGACATCATGCAAAAAAAAAAAAAAAAAACTAGCATGTGAATGCTAATCAGAAATTTAAACTCTTCAGTAACCTATATAAATCTAACTGCAGAGATTTTTAGAGGGTCACTAATTTATGAAAGCAGAAGTTAATTGATGCGAATATTTATGAAAAATTAGTAAGAATCACAATCTAAATACATAAAATCTGAAGAGGTATTTGGGTGCTTTTTTTTTTTTTTTTTTCCTGCAGTATTTTTATTCTTGCATGGCTGAATAAGAGAAAAGATTTAGTAGTGTAACCAACAACTGATGACATGAAAGAGCAGAGCTTAATTCCAGCCTCAGACTTAGTTTTCCTCCAGGACATTTGGCAAAATCCTAACTAAGCACCTGAAACTTTCTGGAGTTCAGTCATTTGTCTCTGTGACTCAGTTCCTGTTTGCAAAACAAATTTAATTGCACTTCCTTACTCTACAGGATTGTTGTGACAATATGTACATTAAAGATTGAGGACAACAGGGACTGTATGAACACAGTCAACACCCAGTGGTGTTGACTGCATACTGATGAGGCTGTAAGCTTTGCAGCCCGAATCCTGCTAGCTATATCCTTCAGTCCAGAGAAGTCTGCTGAGCTCCAGCACAGGGAGGTACCACACACACTTGCTTTCTCTTTCCTCAGCACGTTTGGCACTATCTGAACATGTATATTTAGCATTTCTGCTTAGGACTCTTAACATGTCTTGACACTTTCGAGAAAGTCAAGAATAGTGCAGGCTCTCCTTCTTGACATCTGGCCTTTGGTGTTTTTATTCCTTTCTCTAATACAGCAAAGGACAAAAATTCTTAGAAAACACGACAAGTGCCCTGTAGGCCAATTCTTTGACAGACTGTGCTATGTCAATAAGAAGTACAATGTGGATGACTTTAACTCCAAGAAGTAATAGGGATGAAGAAATGTGGCTCATATTATGTTAGCTGAAGGGAATCTTAATGTGTCAGCCCTAAACAGCAGCATAGACATTACCTACATATTAGATACAGGACAGAAAACAAAATTTGTTAGTCTAGTGAGCCACCTGGTCAATGACCCTGCACCATTTCTGAGTCTGCCTTGGTACAGCACCTGAAAACACCACCCAGCTTACCCAAAGTACAGAAAGGCTTCTGTAGAATAAGAAACATGCTAAATAGTAAATAAATATTTTTATTTTCTTTTTTCTTTCCCTTTTTTTTTTTTTTTTTTTTTTTTTACTGTCTACTAAGATTGCTACTGGCACTGTATCTTATTAGCCCCAGGGCCTGAAGCCCAAAGCCCAGTGGGTGTTAAAAGTCTGTTATTGTGTTATTTATTCAGGAGCTGCAAACTGGATGAACAAGGGAATACGTTAAGATTTATTCTGGTAGGCTGAGAATTTTAAAGAAATGATGTTTTACTGAATATATGGATTTTAAGTGACTATATTAGAACTTTCATTTAAGCGTTTCCTAAAATCTTACCATGATATTATTAACAACATAGAAACTTTGGAAACTGAAAATACAGACATAAAAAAATTATTTGTTACAAAAAAGGGCCTTGCTCGTCTCTTGGGAAACTGAATATTCTAATGTCTGTTTATACCAGCAGAAATAAATTGTATTTGGTAAACATAATGTTAGTCATTTTCAAATATGAAAAGATGTGTGAGCTTTTTTTTTGTTTTGTTTGTTTGTTTGTTTGTTTCAAAGACTTTGCATTGCACATTGAATTTATTTGAGTTAAACTGAATTTTAGCATAGTAAGACTTTGGCTCTCAACAGAAATTCCCTTTCACATATGCATGTGTTTTTTTTTTTTTTTTCTTCCGTTTCTTTACTTCAGCTTTCTTTATGCCTGCCTTCCTTCTTTTTTTTTTTTTTCTTTTTTTTTTTCTTTTTTTCCTCCCTCTTTCTTTCATTATTCTTTTTTTTTTTTTTTTTTTTTTTGTTTGTTTGTTTGTTTGTTTTTCTCTCTCTCTTCCTTTTTTTTTGTTTGTTTTGTTTTGTTTTGTTTGGGAAGTTTAGCATGAAGGTGTTACCTACTTTTCAAAATGTATCTAATTGTCAATGAGACAGATTGAAATATCAACATGAACTGTCTAAAATGTCTGAAATGTCTAAAATCAAAGTTTCTGAGTCATAATTTCTAAATTACACTGACCAAATAAGTTTTGTACTGAATTAACCTTTGGATGAAAGCTTCATTTCCATTTCTCATGACAAGCTTTGAGATGTGTTTTTGTTTCCAAATCATGGAAAGAAAAAATAAAAAAAGGATCATATATCGCATCGCTTCTCACTGTATGTGGGCAGAAATGACTGTTGTGCAAGCCTGTTAGGAAAAAGCAGGTTTCAAATGATTTCAGAAACTAGCAGTTATTTCAGAAATGGTGGGAAATTGTCAGAATAACATAAAGGACAAAAATAAAATGTAAAGAATTGAGTGGCTTCTTGCTGTAGAAATGACTTCTTGTTTTTCCATTTGAAAAAAATCATCATATTTTATTAAAGTGGTTAAGGCTCTGAGATATTTACTTGACACAGCAGTCAACAACACAAAATGTGCACTGTAGAATATTGTGTCCATAAGTCCCACAGTGTGATCATCATGTTAGATAAAAATAAATAAATAAATTTCACCATTATTGCAGACAACTAAATATAATAAATTTCTTAGGAAAAACAAACAAGATGACACTAGGAGAAAGGGATAGATAGATAGATAGATAGATAGATAGACAGACAGACATGCATACATACATACATACATACATATGAAACTTTAGCTTGTATCTCATTTTAGATACTTGTCCTTATCCTGTTATGCTATCTACCAAATTCCATGCTTCACTTTTTAGCCGCTATTATCATTCAAGTTGTAAATGCCAAGCCAGCTAATCTCAGTAGTACCATTAGCTACTCAATTTATATATAAAAGAAGGATATCTGTAATTAAGTAAAGCCAGTTTAAAGAGTTATTTAAGCTGTCATATTCCTGTATAAACCATCATGAAAAGTAGGTCATGTCTTAAATATATTAAAATAAAACCATTGAGATTACTCTTTCTTTTAATTTTTTTTGTGTTTATTGTAAAACAAATAATCAAATTAACATTTTAAATAAATTAATTTTTTTTTCTGTAAGCACAGTTTGACAATTTAGGCTGAATTAGATCTCTACTTCATCTTCATACCAAATTTGTAAGGTTATTTTCCCACACTCTTTTCTTAAAAAAAAAAAAAAATAATAATAATAATAAAGAAATTATGTCCAGTTCTATCCACCTGATTAATATAGCGCAGTTGTATAGTGCAGCCAAGGGAGAGATGGATTAATATGTCAGCTAAAACTGACAGTGGGATGACTAGTAACCTGCTTGATATAATTCCATAGGGTTTCAGGCCTTCTAGGTGAATGCTTATAGCCAGAAAACTTGTTTTTAAGTAGATATGCAATTGATGAAGTAACTTTTATTCAGATACTGATACAAAAATCCTAGTAGTTGAGATAGGAAAAATGGTGTTTCCTTAAATAATGTTAATTTTTCCCTTAAACAGTTATTAAATCATTTTTTTTTGTTTGTTTGTTTTGTTTGTTTGTTTGTTTGTTTCCTATCTTATTCCAGGAACAAACTGTTTTTAGGTGTTTTTTTAGAAAAGATAGAATTTTAAAAATAAAAGGATTGGCAATATAAAATGTATTGATCATAATTCACATAACAAGGCACTTAATTTTTAAAGCTAATTGGTATATAGAGAAAACAGGGAAATAAAACGTAGTGGAATCAGATACAAAATGTCTATAGGAGTAGGCACTTGGTAGCATTTACCAAACATCCAAGCAGGTTATATTATAAATGCAGGTTCTCTCAATAGCAATGATGTGTCGAGTGAGGTTTGTAAAATCTCCCTTTTTCTTTCCAAATAAGGATGAATTATGGCCTAGAGTGTCCTGTCCAGGTGTTAAATGTCTCAGGATGTGTCTGAGATCTAGCCCCTCAGGTGGGAAGACTGGGTCATGTCATATGAGAATCTGTTTCATAGAAGTGCTTTGCCCATCTTTGCTTCATAGTCTGGATTTGAGTCAGGCAGCTGGCTCTCTAGGAAAGAAAATGAAGTACAAGAGGGAGCTGGTTCAAATTCAAAACTTTGCCCTTTAAGGCAATATGAAAGCATCAGCAAGCAAAGCCACTGCAGGCCACTCTTCAGGGTTTTCCTGCATAGGAAACATAGGTATGTTGTTGTTTCATTCTAGTGCTTTGGGTGAAAATCAGTTCTTGTGTGTACTACTTCAATAAGGTTTGTGTTATTTTATTTATTTATTTATTTATTGTTTAAAGAAGCTATGCATAGTAGCTAATATAACATAAATAAGTAAAAATTCTTTGAGATAATTATTTCAAATGTACAACTAAATGTGAAAAATCTCAATTGCATTGAGTCCAAATGCATTCCAAACAAGTGTTACAAATATAAACACAAAGTGTATGTTGCAGATATAACTTCATGGCACTAATTGTTACAGCAAAATAATATCCAGAATTTAAACTAAAATTTTGCAAGTATTCTGGTCAATGCCTTCTGCCTATTTTCAAACACTGACTCTTCTATCAGTACCCTCATTGCACTGTCTAAACAACTGTTTGATCGTTCATTCAGAGAATGACCTTCAGTAGCTTAGAAGAATATTAGCAGTTAAAGCTTATTTTTAATGGTATGAGACATAAATTCCATTCAAAATGAAACAACAGTTGTTTTTCTTCTACAAGTTTAATTTCTGAAAGGCACAAATATGCCACCTGTGGTGTTCTGAAAGACTGGTCATACAGAACTATCAAGAAATTCAGCTTTTCTGCTTAAATAACTGTATAACAGGAGATAGATCTCAAATGAATTCAGCACCCACCATCACGTAGGTGCCTAGAGTGCTTTGTCAGTGTCATAGCTGCAGGTGGTAATGGAGAGCTGTATCTCTGCCACCCAGGGAAAGGCATGAGGTACTCTGATGTACTGACAGATCTGGAGTTCCTAACAGGAAGAAAGGCAGTGTAGTGCTGACAAAAATCGCCCCTGAGGAGTTGATGGGTTCCTTGGCAGGCAGCACCTTACCAGGAACTGCCTGGGAACACAGAGGCCACACATCTCCTTATCACGTTGATTTAATGCTTATGTCTGATAGAGGATACAGTACTGAACATCTGCAAGCAGAGGAAGATTGTATGAAGACAGACATTGCCCATTAAATTACACTTGGCCTCTTTTCACGTGGTGTCCCAAGGCTCCTTATGTAACCATGAAGGCTTGGAGCCTTGGTAAATTTCCAGCCATGACTGTGAACAAAACAAAACTTGATTTGTTTTAGATTGTTCATCAGAGTACAGGGTTCTGGCTTTCCTACTGAGATCTAAGGTGTTCAACCTGGGGAAATCATTTCTTAAAGATTCAGCTGGAGTGAATCATCTGACTGAACCTAAATGTGTATAACATTTCATTTTGTCTTAGTTAAGACACCCTAACACACAATGGAACACTAGTAATTTGGAGTGTTTGAGCAAGGAAAGAATGTTGGATAGTGCAAAAAATATTAATCCATAAATGCCTTATATTTCTCAGGCATGATTTTATCTAGAACTCCAGAAAAACACTTAGAGCAAGTGATAAATGAAACCAAATTTTTTGATGAAAAAATATTATACTCTAATTGAATTTAATTTTAATGTTTAGAATTTCAGAATGCACAATACCTTTTTCATATCTGTTAAGTCTGCTACAATAATCTATAACACCAGTGTGTATTGTTCTTTGCTAAAATCCCTTGGATGCTTAAAAACCTAGCTGGAAAAGATATATTCTATTACATTTTGTAGCATTTTCCCATAGTATCTGACAGCAGTTGTAGAGAATGTTAGGAAGCACTAACCCTGGCCAAGACATTCATTGAAGAAATTTTTTCTTGATTTAACATACACAAGAAAATGGTAAAACTGAGATTATAGTTCAGAAAAGACTAAGCTCTCAGAGAACTCTTCTTTAGCCACCAGATAGACAAACACTCCATTATTAACAGAATGCTTAACTGTATAACACATTAATATCAGTTTTGTAGGACATACAAACAAAATTGTCATGCATACTTAAACAGGAAATTATTTGTGAAAAATGTAGGTCCTGATGGGAAGCCAGTGGGCTAGACCATTCACTTCAACAAGCTTTTGTTTGTTTCTTAAACCTTTGAAACTAAGGAGAACTGAATTTCCTTCTTTAATATGGAAAGAGTATGCAACAGATGCCAGAATCAGTACATTAATAGTGCACAGCGCTTCAGCACCCTGAAGTACTGTGCACTGTAAACTAGTAATGGATAAAAGCTTTCAGAAGATAGCTGTATGGTTTTGACAATTATTACAAAGATTCCTAAAATATATTAGTTATGGTTTATTCTTCACTACATTGTTCATAAAGTTAGCTCAAGGTCAATACTATGTGTGCTTTGCCCGTCTTTGAACACTCCTAACAAACCTAAATCTTGCTTGCTTCTGTCCCCTTTCCACCAGCTGCAGAGTCCCAACAGACCACTAGATTATAATAAATCAGTAGTGGTTTAATCTGATTTTACTATCTAACTCTCACCTTCAGAAAGCTTTCCTTAACTGTCTGTAAAATCCCTCGTCTCTCACGCTCATACAGCATTTTTATGGCATGGAACTGCCAGCATGTCTCAGTGTTTCTTCCATGACTGTTTGCTGGTTCAGTTTCAGCCTGGTGTTGTTCATTTTTCAGACTCTCAGCCTGGCGCTTGACCTCACACTGTGGTGACAGGTCCAAAGTACCAGTCTCCACACTCGATGCAAATGCAGTGGTGGAAGACATCAAGCTGATGAGAGCTGGAAGGGCTATGGTAAGGGGAAGACTTGTTTACCAGAGGCTGGATTACTCAGGCTCTAACATGAATGTCATAAAGATGCCACCCATCTGAAATGTCCTGTCCAGTATGAAATATATGTTCACTTTGATGCTTAGACCTTCAAACACAATCCCACAATGATCTATCCTGCCATGTAAGCTTTAAGGCTGAACTTCAATTTGTTTTCCACAGAAAAATGAAAACATGACATTGTCCTGACAGAACTTCCTGAAGTACATGCAACCATCCTTGTGCCTGAATACCTGACCATTTACAGGAAGTGTTGATTGGTTTGAGGTAGTGACAAGGTAAGTGAGGAAATTTTTTAATGCATAATTATATTTTTTCTAATGCATACTTTCTATTTCATAGAGAATGAAGAAATTTTGTGTATCTTTTTTCATTCCTCAGCATTGTTTCTATTCCTTAAACTACTCTGATATACCATCTAATTTCATTTTGAGAGTAAAGCAATAGCATTTTTGTCAGTTACCCACACTTTCCCTTTTTGTTACCACTCATAAACCCTGAACACCTGGGATTGCTAAAAGCTTCCCCTTGCTCCACTGACGCATTTGTGAATGTCTATCTTTTCCTCTTAATTATTGTTTGGGGGAAGTAAATGTATATCTGGGGCCAATATGGAGATTATTCATAGTATTCTGGTTAAACAGCTTCAGTGGTTCCTCTGGGTAGAAGTTTACAGGAGTGTCTTTTAAATTTTTATAATTTCTTTTTTTTTTTTTTTTTTGTACAGTCTTTTTTTTCCATTCATCAGACTCTCTAATGTAGTAATCTACCTTCATGTTTATAACAGACTTCTTTGTTGCATATAATGAAGTAGATAGTAAACAAGTATTACTAAAAGCTTTTTAAAATGTGCAAATACATAGAAATGTATATATATATACTTTTTTATTGTAGAAAATATTTGTTAGGTTTAATGTTTCCCTAAGAACTGATAGTGCTGAATACCATTAATATTTTATATATCAAATATTTTTATTTATTCAACTGCACTAGTTGACCCAAAGCATTAATTAATGAAAATCATTTCCATTACAGTCTACAAGCAATTCCTTAAAAGCTGCACTATAACATGCTTTAAAGATATATGTGTTTTTCATGGTTCAATTATTGTCATGGCAAATATCCAGACTGGTGAATAAAGACAATAAAATACCCTATAAGAAGTTAGAGGCCCCTGAACACTTTTATTATACTGTACACACTGGAATCAATGAAAGTTTTTAGGTACTATAGTCTGGGAAGCCATCTGGTTTGTTCTATTCTGAACAAAGAAAGCCATTTTTATATTCGTACTTTTTCCCTTATTGGAGGGGAGTACTTATGCTTCTGTAGCTAAGACTGTGTCAGCACTTCCTTTATTAAACCCATTATAAGAACCAAAAGAGAGACTGGAGAGTTTTGAAGTATCTACAGGTGGGTGAGAGGGAGGTGTGAGAACAGAGCAGCTGGGGACCTTCTTGCTGGTCCAGCTGTGCACGTTAACCCAGCTGAACTTCACAAACAGTGATCTCATTGGAGCATCTGTGAACGAATTTCACAAATGTAATTAAAATATCTAGCTAGTACTGGGTACAGAGATCACTGAAAGAGCAGGAGTCTATCCGTTCAGGTAACTGGTCATGCTTTAGAGACTAGTTCACATCTCCAAGTGAGATCACCCTCACTAGGGGCAGGGAGGAGTTGCTGGGCAGGGTCTGGGGACAGACGTGGGAGAAGGGGATGGAGCTGTCTGCAGAACAGAGCTTGGAGTCTATCTTGGAATATCATGTGGCCTGGTGTCCCTCCTTCTCCTACACTGTGGCTTGGCCTGTAGCAGGGCAGCAGTGAGGCAGGTCTTCAGGCCTGGCAGTGTCCCAGGCATATCCACAGTCTGTCACCCTGCAGGCAGGGAACACTTGGCTACACTGTGGCTCTATGCTGGTGCCTGGCAATTACTAATACCTGGCAGTGTTGGAGCCTGGCAATTACTGGTACTTGGCTGTGTTGGTACAAAATAGCAGAAGACAGGGAGAATTCCAATGGCATTTTGAAACTCTGAAGTGAAACTTTCCAACCCTGACATACAGGCAATAGAGTCTCATGAAGTTCTCTTACTGATTTCTGCTACTTCTATGATTTCCATGGGGCTGTTTTTAAACCATTAACCAGACTGAGCATTACTCCGTGTGAAATTTAACACCTCTACGCTGTCTTTGCCATACTTGAAGAATCTTTTTTTTTTTTTTTTTTTTCAGGATTTAATTGAAATTTTACTTCAGAGGCTTCTAGAGCCAGGATCTACTGAAATGGAAGGTAGCTGACAAAGCTGTCGTGGTTTAATAAGATTGCTTCACCACATTCCAGAAATATTAATGCATCCAACCATAATTCAAACTGTTTCTGTTTGTCCAAGAGCTGGGAATATCGTGATACAGCTTTGTCACCACATACATCAATGACACAGCAAATTTCTGTTCAGTAGAAAATGGCTTTCACAAGATATATCACATTATTCTTGCAGTTCTTTCCACCCATCAGCATTATCCTGGAGGAATAAATAAGTGGTGTGATTTACATTTTTCATATACTGGGTTTGGAGATATCTAGTATCATTCACTTCAGCTAAAGACTATGTACTCTAAGGCATGTTTCTGCCCTGATGAATCACTCCAAAATGTTATGATCTGTTTATCTGGATTCTGGAAGATAAGTCACTCTGCTCTGATCTTCCCAGGTTAGGTTCTGAATGATGATGTAATTCATGTTTATGAAATTGCTTGCAAATAGTTAGCATGGAAGTTCAACTTAATCTCCATATTTGTGTAGTTTTTAGGAAACTTATTTTCAGACACATGGATATTTTATTTTATTACATTTACTCATCTTGATTTCTCCTGTGACCAAAAAATTCTTCCCCCAGCTGCTTTGTTCTTAATTTTAAGTGAGCAATTACTTCATGATATGTTACTTTTGTAGTATAAGCTATTCCCAGAACAGGAGAAACAGACAGGGTGTGCCCAGGATATCTCCAAATTCTACTCTCATTGTTTTTATCTGTTTTTCATGCTGCAATTTCTTTTACGGTATTAGTCTTAGCAGGGTGGTTGCAATGTGATTTTCACAAATTAGATTTTCCTTTCCCAATTATGTTGTACTCTATTTATGGTTGTTCCACTAAAATTTAACTTCTAATGTTGTTTTTGTAGGCTTGACAATTCCCTTGTCTTTCTGTTTCTCATGAAAAATGCAGAAATTCAGCTGCAGCTCTTTATAGTGTCCATTAAATTCTTTAATAGATTCTTGTGCAGTCTTAGAAAGATAGTCACTAATGAGGTATGATTGCCATATCTTGGCTGAGTACTTAAAAAAACACTGACCTGTTCATTATAAAATCTAATTTGAAAAGATGTGGCATTTATATCTTATTTAGAAAACTCATACTTCAACTGGGGAAAAAAAAAAAAAAAAAATCTTACATAAACCTAGTATTGCACTTGTAAATAATTTATGAATGAGAATTCCATGGAAGGAAGAAGTTGTTTATAAAAACTACAAAATTCACTATGCTTTCTCAGATATTTCTGGTCTCACAAAAATGTGCAAAGTCATGCCATTCAGGAAGCTTCAATTAAGTAATTTATTTATGCAAATGTTGAATGTAGTAAGTTAATTAGAACAGCAATGGGTGTTTGCTAGAGATTCCAAGTTTGGCAGGCTAATCACTCTACTCTGGCATGCTGCATGTCATTTGTCCCTTAGGCTTCCCATAAAAATGAGTCAAAACTCCTCATAAAAATGAAAGATTGCTTCAAAATCAGGAGCTATGTCCTGAAAATGTTCTAAATAGGATTTGGTGGGTTTGAGGGAATGGATTTGCAACAGATGCTGAGACCCAAGAGAGAGGAAGTGAAGATGAAATTAATAAATTCTCCATCCAAATTGCATTTTCAGGTAGGGTATGACTCAAGATTCAGACCTGTCCAGGTATGCACACAAGAGCCAGACTCACGCTTTTCAATATCATACTCAATCTATTGACACCCTCACAAAAAGGGCAAGGTAAATGTTCACCTGTAAAACAAAAAATAGAGAGAGAGAACAAACAAACAAACAAAAAAAAAAAAAAAAAAAAAAGAAACAACAACAAAAACACCTTGAATTTGCCTTGTATTTACCTTGAATTTCATTGCTTTCCATTTCAAGAAGAAGATGATCCTAGATAAGTCTGGCAAAGAAAGTAAATCTGTCTGGTACTCCAACCACAGAAAACCAATGCTAATCATAGAATCATGGAATCATTAAGATTGGAAAAGACCTCCAAGATCATCTCATCCAACCATCACCTTACTACAAATATCACCCACTAAACCATGTCCCTAAGCACCATGTCCAGCATTTCCTTGAACACCCCCAGAAATGGTGACTTCACCACTTCTCTGGACAATCCATTTCAATGCCTGACTGCTCTTTCTGAGAAGAAATGTCTCCTAGTTTGTAACCTAAACCTCCCCTGGCATAACTTGAGGCCATTCCCTCTAGTCCTATCACTAGTTACCTGTGAGAAGATGCCAACCCCCTGCTCCTCAGCACTTCCTTCCAGGTAGATGTCAAAAGCTACATGCTTAAATATATTTGTACTTTCAGCTTCAAAGACTTGTCACCAACGTGATGCATATGATACAATTTTAGTCATATTTGTCATGTGGTGTAGAGGTAGAGTCAGTTAGTAGTATCTGAACTTTAATTCAAATATCAGTTGTTCTTTCTGATTATTATTTATACGTTGACTTACTTGAATTCTGAAGATGTTGACGGTCCATTTTTTTGTATTGCATAGCTCTTTCAGTTCAATCTTTTTTTTTTTTTTCCCCGATTGAGTAAAGTAGTTATATATGGTCCCTTATTATTATTTTTGTTAGCTTCTTTTACACTTGAAAGGATGAAAGAAATTCCACTTAATTACTCTGTTTTGGCGTGCGCTGTTGTGGACTGAGAACACACACTTCACACTGTCCTTCCGATAATTCTGACAGTACTGTCTGAAATAGTAAAATCATAGGTCAGAAATTTGGGAATATGTCACAATTCACATTGCACTATGACTGGAAAGTCAGTTAGCCTATTATGCATGTGTGTGTTTGTGTATGGTCCATATTAAAATAATTAATCCTCATGACATGTAACATAGGAGTGGCAAAGGCACAGAACTGCCAGCATAATATCCACAGAGCTGTAATGATGTTACAGTGAATTTACTGTGTTTTCATTGAATCATCCATGCCTTTAATGAAAATGGTAG